AGAGCTAAGAATCAAATTAGCAACAAACAACATCCTAATAATTATGTGGAATGGATACATCTATTGGAACTTAAAATAAGATTATTCTCATCTGTCAGCCCAGCATATTATATTAAGTTTAAATACCGCTCCAACAGAAAGAAAAGCGATAGTTTATTCAACAGTATAATAGTAAGATCTATAATCTGTATAACAGCATTACTGCATGAATTAAAAAACAAATCACAATATATTTACACTCACATTAAACCTAACACAGTATGTCTTGTCTCTTAAAAAGAGAAAAAAGCATAAAAAATTATAAAATACTAAGGTCCTATGTTTTAAAAATGCTCCTCTATCTATATATGCATCTATACCACTATCTTAAGAAGGAAGAACATACAAAGGTGTTAATATGAAAAGTCATTTCTGGCTGATAAAATTATGGAATTTTACTTTTTATTTGCCTAAATTTTCTATTTTTCATGATAAATATGCGTAACATCTAAATGAAAAGTACTTTGGAAAACCTAGTACTTTACAACAAAAGCAATAAAACTTTCATAAAAAGAAAAAAATATGAAAATTTTTGCAAAAAATCAAAGAAATAAAGATAGGAACACTTCAATATACAAGGAATAAGTCTGATTCTAGAAGGTTGATTCATGGTCTGAAATGGACAAGTGGTAAAAAAAAAAAAAAAAACAGATATGTACCAATGATTATTATGCTTGTCAAAAATAACAGTATTACATAATTTCACAGTTGGAAAAGATCCGAACAAAGTCACTGAGTGTTGTGCCCCATCTTCCTTCCAACTGATGTCTGAATATTAAGGAAAGTAAAAATTGGACCAGACAAAGACCACTAATCTCTGAAATGCTTTGATTCCACTAAAGGCATCTGGGTGTAATGGAGGAAGTTGAAATTACTTTTTTCATTGTGGGAAGAATAAGAGAAGACAGAAATAAGAAGGGCTCAGAAAAAGGGAGACAGCTGAGAACAAACTTAGGGAACAAGTGATGGAGGAATGTCTTAGAGGAAGTGGATGAATTTGTCTTAAGAAAGAATATGTCTTTAGAAATGTCTTAAGAACTACACCTTTCTCTTATAATTAACAGGAAAGAAGAGGTCAGAAAGAAAACCTAAAATGGAAAGGAAGATCTGGAGACAGCTCAGATGACCTCCTTGGTGAGCTGAGAGACAAGGTATTCACTCAAAGCGCGGAAACAGATATGGACAAATGGGTTGGAAATGCAACAAGGAGTAAAAAGAAGACTGTGCCTTGGTGGTGAGTGCCCAGTTGAGGCCAGTTAAATGAATTTTCAAATGAACTAATTAGCCCAAGCTTATAACTTTATATAAAGTTCAGAACAGAAGTAGGGAAAAAAAAGATAAACTGTGGAATTTACTCTTACGATACAGCTTAAGAATTAGAATGAAGGAATTGGGGACTATGAAAGCATTTCTGAAATATTCAGTCCTAGAAGCTCAAGTTTTCCAGTATTACTGAAGGAAATTCAATTGATTTGATCTTTATAAAACTAGAAATAATAACCATGTATTTATCAAAGACTCTTATTACATCTACTATCTTACTTCATCTTCCCAGAAGATCTGAGATAGACGGTATCTATATATGCTTTTTATAGCTACGGAAACAGACTTCAAAGATGGACTCCCAAATCAGCCAGCAGATCCTGACTTGAAGCCGGTCCTTTGCGGCTGCACCACCGGGGCTTCCCTTGCTCACTTCCTCCTTAACAATCTCCTCTGGGCCCAGCTGCCCAGTGGCCTGCCCTGGTATCAAACCAAATACCACGTCACTCACACTTTTCCCCTTAACTTTAGTTTGTAGGTTATACATAAGGAACAGACTCAATCTTTCAAACTTAAAAATCTTAGGCTGACAAACTAACAGGGCAAATGAAAAGAAAGACTTATTCATACTTGAGACAGGAGTAACAGACACTGACTGCTTTTTCCAGGTCAGCCAAGCAAATCCTTATATTCAGTCTCTAGAACTAAGCTTCCAACATTTGCAAGCAAAAGTCAGTAATTTTTTTCCTTGTTAGAGCTGCAATTAGAAACAACCCAAATGTCCATCAACTAATAAAAGAAGAAATTAAATGCAAATCCATAAAATGGAATATTATGGAAATAAAAAGGAATACAGTACTGAAACACAATACAAAATGGGTGAACCTTGCAGCCAATATGCTAAGTAAAAGAAGCCAAGTTACAGAAGACCACATATTATATGATCCCATATATATGAAACGTCCAGACAAGGCAAATCCACAAAGACAGAGAGTAGATCAGTGATTGCCAGGAGAGTTGGGAGGAAATGGAGAGTGACGGCTTAATGGGGATGAGGTTCCTCTTGGAGGGTGATGAAAATGCTCTAAAATTGTGGTGATGGTGGTATAATTCTGGAAACATACTAAAAACCACTGATTTTTCACTTAAATGAGTGAATTGTATGGTATGTGTATTTTATTTCAATAAAGTTGGTAAAAATTTGCAATTAGCAGACAGTTTCACTGGTCATGGTGTATGGGTGAATGTGTAGACATACATACATGCATTAAAATATGGAAGAATATAAGAGCTTACTTAAAAAAAAATTAAATGGTTTAATAACCCTCTCACAGTTCAGACCAACATGAATAAGTTTGTCTGAGACCAAGACCGCCAACCAACTCATCCTGTTTCCCACACTCTTACCAATAGATAAAAATCCACCTGGCTGCCATGTCTCCCCTTTCACTCTCCTCCATTCGCCCCACTACAAATTTATAAAAATATCCCATTTCATTCTGGCATTCCAGAACTTTCAGGGATCTCATGCTGCTGCTGCTAAGTCGCTTCAGTCGTGTCCGACTCTGTGCGACCCCATAGACGCCAGCCCACCAGGCTCCCCCGTCCCTGGGATTCTCTAGGCAAGAACACTGGAGTGGGTTGCCATTTCCTTTTCCAATGCATGAAAGTGAAAATTGAAAGTGAAGTCGCTCAGTCATGTCCAACTCTCAGCGACCCCATGGACTGCAGCCTGCAGCTCCTCTGTCCATGGGATTTTCCAGGCAAGAATACTGGAGTGGGTTGCCATTGCCTTCTCCGAGTGATCTCATGACTAAGCTCAAAAACTTACTCTTCTTTCCCTGGACTCCGTTACTCTTCCATTTTTACCTGTATTCTGGTAAGTTTTGTGTTTAAAAACAAACAATACCCACTGAACTTACAGGAATGCCCTGACCCAGTGCCTGGTCAGTGCCTAACCTGGCACTGTCCATCAGTGCCAGGTCTTGGAGAAACTCAGGCATTCTGCCCTTACCCAACTCAGGATACAATGTTTCTGACCTTGAAAATCCTCGGGGCAAAATGAGAAGATTCTCCATTCCTGATACTTGATTCTAAACAACCTGAATGTGTTTCCCAAGAGCCCTAAGAAAATAGAGCATCTTAGGGTACAATCTTCTTATAAAAATTTTCTTCTTAATTTGGTATTTTAGATGAGACAGAATCTACCGTTCTAGAGTACTGTTAACAATTTTTAAATGAACAAATAGCAAAAATCGAATAATTTCCAAGATATGTTCACAGTGTCACATTGCTATTAGCATTTCAGATTGGTAGGATTCATTCAAAAGGCAACAACACCTACCACTGTCAAAATGATGTTGGAGATATTAGAAACAAAAGTTTTCTATAGGAAGAGCTCTACCACAGCTTCAGGTGTATAACAAACACTGAGGAAAATGTAGAAATCCAATAGAAACTGAAAAGTTTGATCAATCATGGCACAGAAACCCAAAAGAATGCTGCAAGCACTTGAACACAAAATGGTAACAATACACAGATTAACACTATGTCATCTTTCAAAATCACATCATCATCTTAAATTGTCTTTTAAAAAACCACTTGGAAAAATGACTCACCTTCAAATCTCTCATTTTTAAAGGTTTCCTATCCATTTTATTTGCTCAATTAAATTCTTCTCTGTGTGTCTTTCTTGTTATCTCTACTTTCTAGTATAGCTGTCTTTATCTCCTTCACTCACTCTCTTGATAAAAATTTTACTGTCAATCATGACTTCTTTTCTAACCCTAAGGAAAATATCTATATAAAGGCTACATTTACAGCAACATAGATGGACCTAGAGATTGTCATACTGGGTGAAGTAAGTCAAAGACAAATACCACATGATATCACTTATATGTGTAATCTAAAAAAGCATAAAAATGAACTTCTCTACAAAAGTGAGAGAAGGGCTTCCCTGGTGGCTCAGACGGTAAAGCGTCTGCCTGCGATGTGGGAGACCTGGGTTCAATCACTGGGTTGGGAAGATCTCTTGGAGAAGGAAATGGTAACCCACTCCAGTATTCTTGCCTGGAAAATCCCATGGATGGAGAAGCCTAGTAGACTACAGGCCACGGGATCGCAAAGAGTCGGACACGACTGAGTGACTTCATTTTCACAAGACAGAAAGAGTTACAGATTAAGAAAATAAACATATGGTTACCAAGGGGTAAGGGAGGGGGGATAAATTAGGAAGATAGGGACTGACATATACATATTATAATATACAAAATAGATAACTAATAAAGACCTACTGTAAAGCACAGAGAATTTTACTCAATACTCTGTAATGGCCTATGTGGAAAAAGAATCTAAAAAAGAGTGGATATATGTATATGTGTAACCAATTCACTTTGTTGTACAGCAGAAACTAACACAACATTGTAAATCAACTATATTCCAATAAAAATTTAAAAAAAATTTTTTTAATTAAAAAAGTAAAGGCTATAGAGCAGAAAACAAAGTCCCCTGTGACCATAATACATACCCTCCACATCCTGCCCTGCTCCCTTTGTGAACCTTACAAAGTGGCAGGAGATGATGGGAGGAGAGTGGGAACGGCGTCAGGCCTCAGAGCTATTTTCTGGTTAATTGTGCCTGTCTCTCAGCATGCACAGGAAACAGAAATCTAAAATAATCAACTATAGCAAGTTTCTTACCTTTTGAATGAATCTGTTTCTGAGGAAAAAAGAACTTCCTCTTCAATATCAGTACACCTGGAAGAATGATCTTGTCTGTCAGGCTCTAATTTCCCTGGGGAGTCCAGCTTTGATTGAGGGAGGTGATTTGTTACTACCGAGGGTGTATCTGAGAATTTCATTTTATTATCTTCCTTTCCTACAAAAGAAAAAAGAAAGAAAGGAAAAAATGAAACATTTAAGAGTACCTTAAAATTTATAACCTCTGTATATTTATTATTTCCACCACATTTATTATTGCTATTTGTACTTGGTAAAATAGAATTTTATGTAACATTGACTCCAAAACTCTAGTTTTGGAGCCAGAGAATAAAGAACAAGCACTATACTTGTGCCATTTGCTTATATTGTCCACCCATGTATTTCCATATTCATTAATTAAAAAGTAAAATTTTCTCTGAAATCAGGAGGAGAAATTTATAATTCTAATGAGGCTTTTATTTACAGTATTACTAAAGAATTCCTGCTTATTTCATAGATCAGAGAATAGTGATAAACATTAAAAAATTACAAAAAAGGATTAAAGATTCAATTAATAAGAGAACCACAATCTCTGTCACTGACTGCTGTACGGTAGTGAATCTTTCCGGTTATTTTCCTAAATCTGTTACACAGAATCTACTATTCACTGGCGAAAAGAAAAACTAATCAGACATAACCAAGATATCTGTTTGATCCAACACACATCACACTTCTACTCATCCCTTGTCATATTCTCACTTCCTGAGGTCTCTTATTGCAGATCAAGGCCCAGGACAGCTGAGGGGATGCAGACAGTGTTTGCCAGAATGTGACCTGCAGGTGTGACGAAGGTCTGCAAACACGAGGGCAGAAAGTCATCTCCGCGCAGGAGTCGTAAGTGTGCAGACCCTCCCTTGCCACGCAGGGCAGGGCTGTGCTGGGACTTCAGCTGTGCTGGCTTTAAGATCAGGGACTGAGTCAGCACCTGACCCCCTTGACATGGGCCTGAGGACAGACTCTCCTTTCATGTGTTTGCTCACAGAGAAGCAGAGTTTTACACACCACTCCTGCACTTGTGGAGACAAGTGACCTTTCACAAAGGACACCAACAAGAACTGTCAAGGTTTTGTTAATAAAGACAAAAATTACGGAAAAGCAGTAAGACAATTCTTCAGACAAACAAACCTTCCCAACTCCGTATGATCAAGATTTTTCCGGAAATAATTATAAGTTTTTGTCACACTGGAGAACAGCATACATCACACAAGAGTATAATTTCTAAAACTAAGCTCCTGATGTTGTCTGGCTTTCACTAAGCCTGCTCATTACCAGTACAAGCCATATCCTCTAACGTTTATCTGAGAAATGGAAATGAGCAGCTAACCAAGACAGGATCTCTAGGATCTTCTCTTACAAACACACACCTATGACCAGGTTAAGAGAACACAATGACCCACTGAACCCAGGTGACTATCACTCAACTTTCTGGGTGAATACAATCAAGTTGGTAATCCAGGGAGAAGGAATTTAACATAAGACTATCTTTTATTTTTACACCTGATTTATACTCTTCTCTTACTTCTTTCACTTAAAGAAAATCTTAATTAATTTATGTATTTTTGGCTATGCTGGGTCTTTTGCTCTGCGGGCTTTTCTCTAGTTGTAGCGCACACAGGCTTCTCTTTGCAGTGGGTTCTCTTGTTGCAGAGCACTGGCTCTAGAGAATGCAGGTTTCAGTACTTGTGGCTCCTGGGATCTAGGGCACAGGCTCAATAGTTATGGCACATGGTCTTCACTGCTCCTCGGCATGTGGGATCTTCCTGGACCAGGAATGGAATCCGTATCTCTTGCACTGGCAGGCAGATTCTTTACCACTGAGCTACCAGGGAAGCCCCTTCCACTCTTATGTAAGCTTCTACAGGATAAATTTCCTCTTGCAGGCAAGTATCATTCAACAAGCATGGGCAGTGAAAGTCAGTTATCCTACTTATCTGTCCATGGATCTCAGGAGAGAACTCCAAATAAAGCCAAATGCATGAGGCCCCCAACATTAAACTTCTCCAGAGACATGCATCAAAAACAGATGAAGGTTCTACTTAAGAGGACACATATCTCATGCACTTATGCTAGCACTCTGATAAGCCAGTTATTGTAAACAGCAAATGTTACACTGGCTGTATGACACTGTACAAAGCCCAACCTTTCAGCCTGTTCCATTCTCTTTCTCTCTCTCTCTCACACTCCCCACTGCTCCCAGACACATGCATTCACACACAGCAATCTACCAGCAGTGCTCATCTCTGAACCCTAGAGAGAGTAAAAGTCATGCGCACATACACAAAGAACACACAACTCCTGAGTGTAAGCAATCAATCATCTTCAAAAGAGAGTCAACCAATAAACAAAAATATTCTCTTTATCTGAGATAATAAGCTGGATTTTCTCAGGGATTAAACTGCTTCCTGGCAACATATTTTAACAACAGCATGAACTAAGTTGCTGACAAAGACCACAGAGAATATACCCAAAAAACCTTGTACTCAGTCAGCAACCTTCTACATAACACCAGTAGAACAGAGGACAAAAATAGAGAATGCAACAGCACCAAAAGGATAAAATGTTTAGATGTCAACGAACCAAAGCAATCCAGCAATACAATGCAATCCCAACGGATTATTTTTTTAACAGAAATAGAAAAATCCATCTCAACATTCACATGGAATCTTAAAGGAATCAAATGGCCAAAACAACCCTGAAAAGGAAGAATAAAGCTGGAGAACTCATATTCTCTGACTTTGAAATTTATTACAGTTATGACAATTAAAACAGGATAGCTGTTTCAATGGTATAAGAACAGATATACAGACCAATTAAACAGAACATACAGTACAGAAATATACCCTCACATATACAGTCAACTGATTTTCAGAAAGGATGCCAAAAGCATTCAATGGAGAAAGTATAATCTTTAGACAAATGGTATTCAGAAAACTGGATTACTGACATGTGAAAGGATGAAGCCAGACCCTTACTTATACCATATACAAAAATTAACTCAAAGTGGACCACAGACCTAAACATGACCTAAAAGTATGAAACCCTTAGGAGAAAAAAAGAGGAAAACTTCATGACACTGATTTTGCAACAACTTCATGAATATAACAGCAAAAGCATAGGCAACAAGAGAAAAAACTGATAAACTGAACTTCATCAAAACAAAGCACTCTTGCATCAAAAGATACTATCATGGAAACAGAAAGACAACAGAGAAAAAATTTATATAAGGAATTAATATTCAGAGTATTTAAAGAATTCCTAAAACTCAACCACAACAACAACAACAAAAAAGCCAATTAAAAATTGAGCAAAGAGCTTAAACAGACATTTTTCAAAAGAAGAAAAACAAATGGCAAATAACCATATAAAACATTCTTAATCTAACTAGCCATTAGAAAAATATAAATCAAAACCACAATGAGATACATCATATCTACCAATACGGTTTCAGTAAGAAAGATGAAAATAACAAGTGATGAGCATACAGAGAAACTGAACTCCTCAAGCACTGCTAGTGGGAATGTAAACTGGTGCAGCCACTACAGAAAACAGTTTGGTGGTTTCTAAAAATGGAAACAAAGAATTATTGTGACAACCAGAAATGCCACTGCTAGGTATTTACCCAAGAGAACGGAAAGCAGAGGCTTGAACAGATGCATGAACACCAATGCACACAGCAGCATCGTTCACAATAGCCACAAGGTGGAAAAAGCCCATTACAAATGAATGGATAAACAAAATATGGTCTATAGAGGCAATGGAATATTATTCAGCCATAAGAAGTAACAGATTTTGATATATGCTATAAAATGAGGACCTTGGAAGACACTATGCTTAATGAAATAAGCTGATACAGAAGAAAAAATAATATATGATTCCACTTTTATGAGGTACCCAGAAGAAGCAGATTCATAGACACAGAAAGTAGACCAGGGAATAGTAAGGGCCAGTGGGGAAAGAGGAAGAGCTATTATTTCATAGGTTCGTTTTGAATGGAATAGTGATGATGGTGACACAACATTGTGAATGTACTCATAGCCACTGACTTGTATATTTATGAATGGCTAAAATGATAAATGTTATGCATATTTTTACCACAGTAAAAAAAAAAAATAAAGAATTTTCTTGTGCACTTTCCTGTATTATGATTGTTTTGTTCACTGGCCTGGGCTTCCCTTGTGGCTCAACTGATAAAGAACCCGCCTGCAATGTGGGAGACCTGGGTTCGATCCCTGGGTTGGGAAGATCCCCTGGAGAAGGGAAAGGCTACCCACTCCAGTCTTCTGGCCTGGAGAATCCCATGGACTGTACAGTCCATGGAATTGCAAAGAGTCGGACACGAATGAGCGATTTTCACTTCACTTAAAAGTCCTGGCAATATAAATATTAATCTCAAATTTTTAAATGGGCTAAAATTAAGGAATGTGCGATGTATTAGCTTTAGATATTTTAGCAAAACATTCCATCCAAAGTAAATACCAATGAACTATGGTAAAAATAATTTATTCTCTTTGTAGGCTATCTGAGGATGGGCAGCAATAAATCCTATATCTCAAGCTTAAACAACTAAGAAACTTCTGATTTATCACTGAAAGGAAGAGAGATTTTTAGAAACTGTATCTTCAGGACACCTCCCCACTCATTTATTTCTGGAGTAATAAAGCTAGTTTACACCCAACAACTGCTACAGGTCTAAATATACTAGTAAGTCCAAAGTCCTTTGATTTTACTCTTCTATATTAAAAATAGTAAAATTCAATATACTTCTGTTTTTAATTAAAGTCTCTTACCCACAAATACAGAGGATGGTTTTTCTGTAGATTCATCTTCTCCTTTTGTTACTTTTCTTTTGGACATTCCAACAGTCTTTTTGTATCCTTTTTTGGCTTGATCCATCAGAAGCTGAAATTCAGCCTTATGTTTTTTACCTGAAATTCAAGCCGTCAGTAAATCAGGACTATAAAAGCTACACGTCTACAATGGACAAATCGTAAGAATAATCAAGAAGAAAACTCGACAAAGTGAACACAAAGAATAATCAAGAAGAACACAAACGTGCTCAAGAACAGCACCCTGTGAACTCATTTACTGAATTTAAAAGGCCCGGGGGTGAGGGGGGTGTGCTGTGGCAACCTTCTTTTATATTAGTATCTTCTCCCTTTCTCAGATACAGACTTGAAACATAACATTCCTAGTTTAAATCTGTAGGTTTCTCCCCATGTCCCATACTCTTTTAAAAAGGTTTTTTGTTAGAGTGTAAAAGAGGATGCTTTCTTAAATATTTCCGAAAGACACCAGTCTAACTTCTAAGATATAACAGTACTAGGAGGAAGAATATTAACTCAGTTTAAAATAAAAGCTTCTAGGAAAGATGGATAAAAACAAAGAATACCCACTTTAATTCCCCCTTTCCTTCACATTTCTTACCTGTTTTCTAACAGAACCCCTTTGATAATCTAAGACCCTCACCACCATCAATCTATTTTGGTATATTCTAATTAATCAATCTTAATTTACTACTACTTCAAACACTTCTGAAGATAATTTAAGCCTGACCTCCAGGTCACCACTATTAATGTACATTAATTTACTCAATAAAGAGTAGCCACTCATTGTTAGAGCATGGATTTGAGGACGTCTATTTTTGATTCTGAACCAAGGTTCAAACAGCTGAGGTTGCACTTAAGCACTGCTGCTGCTGCTAAGTCACGTCAGTCGTGTCAGACTCCGTGCAACCCCACAGATGGCAGCCCACCAGGCTCCCCTGTCCCTGGGATTCTCCAAGCAAGAATATTGGAGTGGGATGCCATTTCCTTCTCCACGGCATGAGTGCACGCCAAGTCGCTTCAGTCATGTCTGACTCTGTGTGACCCCATGGACAGCAGCCCACCAGAATCCTCTGTCCAGAGGATTCTCCAGGCAAGAATACTGGAGTGGGTTGCTATTTCCTTCTCCACTTAAACACTGAAGCAACCTTAAACACTTAAGTCACGGTCTAAAATGATGTTGTAAATTCTATACAATTTTAGAGTCATACTGCAAATGGTTAAAAGTTTTTAAACTGTTTTCATCCAATAACCACCATTTTCTCTATAGTGAAGTATCATGAATAACTGCATTTAGGGGTAAATTTGGGCTTCAGTTGAAAAATGATGCATTTTCTAAACATACCCTTCTAGATTTCCAGTCATCCCCTGCCTATGAGCTATGTTACAGCTCTGTAAATTGTAAATAACTAATGGCAATGAAAAATAATTCTTGTCTATAGACAAGTAGAATCCTGTCTGGTGAAGGTTTGACTGACTTCCCTCCCCTACTGTGGAAGAAGCTAGTTTTGCCTCTATTTGCACACTCATTTCAGTATTTCCCAATCTATACATGTGACTGTTCCTTGGACATTAGGGAGAGACTGTTCCTAATTTCAACATATTTATGTGTATGGTATGTGTATGCAAACTCCCAGTAAAACTAAGGTGTTGGGCTGTAAAGTGTCTGGTAGGTTTTAAATAAGAGACTGGCTAAAATTTCAGGAACATATAAGTTGCCCATAAAGATTATTAGGAAAACTGAGCTCTTTAGAAAGAGGTGAGATCCTGTGATTAGGCAAGGCACTATGGGGTCCACATAATCTATTCAGCTCTGTTAACAAGTCTCCCCCACTGTTTACTTACAGATTATGGATTTAAGAATTTCTCAAGAAACTTCCTAATATAATCTCGTAACAGTTAAGAAGGCTTAACGACTTTGTCTTCTGAAGGAATAAAATCCCAGGTTTAACAAAGAGATTTTCTTTTTAAATCTAATTACCCCTATAGCTAGACTAGAAACAAAAGTAAATGGCAACCACTACTCCAGCTTTGGCCCAAGAAGTCCAACAACTCCTGCTCAAAAAATGAACAATGCCAAGAGATTATGACTGATAAAATTGTTCCTACTCATTTCTCCACCTCATTTTAGGAGTACTGCCATTTGGCAAGGAAAACTTCAGAGTTTAAATTCAATGCCCTGAATTTACCTCTTAGAAGTTTTAAGTGGATCAGATAGTGGTAGGAGTAGATGAATAAGCTCACATGCAACCAAGTCATATTCTTCAAGATTTTTAGTCCTTGAATCATACCTTTCTGCCATGCCAAGTGGAAATATAATATTCTCCAGTGCCAAGTCAAGTCCTTCATGCCCTGACCACCTTCACTGCTCTTTTTAGAGCATATTTTACAACCAGAGTATCTCTGGGTCTGCCCATGAAACCAGGCGTATACCAAAATCAGGATCCAAGAGTGGGACAGTCAAGCCAGTACAGTGACACCACTGAGATACATACTCATCTACTTTATATCACAGAGAGTTTGAAGTCAGGGTCTCCCAAAATAAAATCTCATGTCTTTTTTTCACCAACTAGCTATGACAGTCATGCAATGAAACATGGATTAAGAACAGAATAGTAAAAGCTAACACTCACTATGGGATTATTCATTCAACTGTGAACTGACTAGCCTCGCTTTAAATTTATGATCATAAGTCTCAAAATGAGCACTCAGCACTATCATACAACTTTTCTACCTTTCTCCAGTAAACTTTTACAATTCTCCAAAATGTCAACTTCACACTTTCGCCAAAACTGCAGCACTTCCTTCTCAGTTGGGCTCACATCACTCTGCAAATACAGATGAGTTCTAACAGGAACTCTGACATCTTACAACTACTACTGATTCATCTGTGCACACGTGATCTATCTTCCCTCGCAGTGAGCATGCAAAGGCTGTCCTTGCTGCATTTAAGGACCAAGCTCTAATTTATGCTCTGAATTCCATTAAGGACTTCTCGAGGATATAATACATGCAATTATCCTTTCCTATATCACCAACTTCTCCTCTCTTTTGAATCTTTCCCAGTGCACACAAATAAGCTTGGGATAGGACTGTGCTTTTGAAAGTGAGAGTGTGGGTTGTGAATAAACTTAGTAGGTCCAGATCAGCATCTTTTTCCTAATAAAATTAAAGGAATAGGATGAAAAGTGCCAGATTGCATTAAAATGGAAAGAAAAAACAACCAAGATGTCCTTCAGTAGGTTAACAGATAATCCAACTGTGGTATATCCAGAAAGTGGAGTGCCAACCAGTTCTAAAAAGAAATGTGCTATCACAGCATGAAAAGACAGAAGAGCCTTAAACGAACAGTACTAAGTGACACAAGGGGCATCCCAGGCAGCACTAGTGGTGAAGCATCTGCCAGCCAAAGCAGGAGATGTAAGAGACGTGGGTTGTATCCCTGGGTGTGAAAGGTCCCCTGGAGGAGGGCACAGCAACCCACTAACGTATTCCTGCCTGGAGAATCCCATGGTTAGAGACTGGCAGGCAACAGTCCTCACAGTTGCAAAAGAGCTGGACATGACTGAAAAGACTGAGCAGGCACGCACATTACTGAAAGACGACAATCTGAAAAGGCTACACACTATATGATTCCAGCTGCATACAGGACATGCACAAAAAGGCAAAACTATGGAGACAGTGAAAAGATCAGTGCCTGGGGCTGGGGGTGGGGAAGCGAGATGAGCAGATGGAGCACAGAGGACTTCTGGGACAGTGAAAACACTCTGTATGATATTGTATTGGTAGATACACGACACAAATTTGTCAAAACCCATAGGATGTACAACACCAAGAGAGAACCTGGAAGTAAACTAGACTGTGTGTGATTATGAGTGTCAATGTAGGTTCAACAGCTGTAACAAATGCACTACTCAAGTGTGGGAATATTGGTATTTGCAGAGGTTATGCATGTGTGGAGGCAGGGAACACACAGGAATTCTGTAATTTGTTCCCACTTTAAAAAAAAAGTAAGATCAGTCATGGTTTGGATAAGCATAACCAACTGGCTTTGGAAGTCAATTATCTCACTACTTTTATTTTTTCAAAGTCACTAAAGAAATTCTGAGAAAAAATGAAGGAAAACAATTTTTTCTAATGTTGGAGACAGTCAAGCTCAAGGAGGGTACACACGAACATCATTTGAAAATATCTGAATATAACTTTTAAAAAACATGGAAAGATTAAAAACTGTTTTGCAAAATTTATTTCAGTAATATGTGTGCATACAGTTAATAGTAATATAAAATAAATTTTTCACTGTGAGTTGCAGTAAAAACACATCAGATAACCATTGGGTTAAGTATCTTTCAACTTTAAAGTGAAAGTGAAAGTCGCTCAGCTGTGTCTGACTCTTTGAGACCCCATGGACTCTATAGTCCATGGAATTCTCCAGGCCAGAACACTGGAGTGGGTAGCCTATCCCTTCTCCAGGGGATCCTCCCAACCTAGGGATCGAACCGGGGTCTCCTGCATTGCAGGCGGATTCTTTACCAACTGAACTATCAACAAACAAAACCGTCCCTGGACCCAGCACCCACCTCCAGCTTTGACTTCATTTCCCTCTCTTACTGACACAGCGAAACTTGCCCTAAGAGTTGTCTGCCTTCATACCTCCACTTCCTCACCTCAAATTTGGTCTCAATCAACTCTTAAGTGCTTCTGATGTCTCCTCTCCTATGAAACTACTCTTGCCACAGTGTGTTGTGAAACATGAGTCATGAAATCAATTACCTGTCTCACAAACTGGATACATTTCATATATTTTGACTAAAACAACACATGACAACACTTTAAATGCAGAAATTAATGTAAGAGTCAAGATGTCTCTAGTAAGCAAGACATTAAAGAAATTTGCAAAAATAGAAAGGAGTATTATTCTTCTCACTAAATTTTTAAGATCAGCCTTACTAAGAAATATTTTGTAAAAAAAAATTTTTAAGTGGACAATCTGATGCATTTTAAAAGAATGTATAGTTGTGTTATCTATCAACACAACCATGAAACCGAAGATTTAAATTATCCACAGACTTCCTTTGTAGTCAGTCCCCGCCTTTCTCCAC